CTGGCTGGCTCACTCATGCTCCTCTTTCCGCCTCTCCCCTGGGCAGGCGCAAGGAGTTGAAGCGTCCTCCGGCAGGAAGACATTCAAAGGGAACTTTTCCTAGAATTGTGAGTAACAGCAAGCTGCTAAAAATGAGGCTTGACTTTACAGGGCACATACTGGAAATGAGGCTATTAATAGGCTCCTGCAGGCCACTGCTATGCTGACAAAGTCTGCAAGGCAGACCTCGCCCGGCAGTGTCTGTGGGGATGAGAAACAGAGGTCCAGTGCTTCCAGCAGGACACAGGGGGAAAAATCGTTCCATGGACTTCCTTCAGAATGCAGAGAGGGTCAGGATCCTCTCCCACCCACCTTGCAGCCCACAGCCAAATCCAGCCATGAGCTAAGACAGGAATATGTGACCTACACACAAAACTGAAAGCTCACGGAGCAAAGACACCGAGCCGGGTGCCTTCCGCGTGGGTCCCCCGTGGCATGAACAATGTGAATGGGTCCTCACTTCCCTTCAACTCACTTGATTGGCACTCCGCAGGCCGTGGAGGAACCCACTCACCAGGGACAGCATCTGTGAAACCCAGCATGCTCCTGGGACACAGGAAATCAGGCAGCAAGAATGACAGTCCTTGAAAACCAGCCCATTTCTCCCAAGCGGCAAGAAGCCAAAAATAAAAATAAAATAAAATGCAGCCCTGAATTCTCATGGTGCACCTATTTTCCTGGCCAGTGCTTGGGAGGAATGGAGACACCTGATGATATGCAGCAGTGCAGTAAGACAAGCACAGCTATGCAAGGGCTTCTTTCAGAGCCCAACCCCTTCTTCCCAGCTGACCCTGGACAAGTTGAACCAACGTTTTGGATCTGTCTCCTCATCCACACAATGGGCACAACACTCCTTTCCCCGACAGAGTGGTGAGAATCAAGATAACACGGAAAGTGGCTTGTCCCCAGTGAGGAGCTGCAAGTGTTAGTTTGCCTTCCTGGTTGCTAATGGAAGAGGAAAACAAAGCATTTAAGCCAAGGCAACGGCACATAGCCGGGGAGTGCAGAAGGAAACCGCTGCAGTGGGCATAGCTCCAAAGGCTGTGGCTGGACGCTGACCACAGAGTGACTACAGTTGTCAAGAATGGTGCCCACTTCTCTGCCTCCCACCAGCACGTCCTCCTCGGCAAGGCACCGCGGTAGAAGCTCTGCTTGGAATTTCTCCTGTGTACAAGGAACAGAAGCTGCCTTTTTGCTTTTTCCTTTAATCTTGAAACCTTGTCATGTTTTCTCCAGAGTGTAGAGGAACCCCAACCACCACCAACTTGCATGCATTCTTGGGATGCCAAGACTCTGGAAACCCCACGTGGTCTCTGTAGCCTTCATCTGCTTCTGGGTTTCACCTGCAGCTCACACAAAAACCAGAAACCCCTCCAGGGGAAAGAAAGTCAGTAACGAACAACAAACAAACAAACAAACCTCTTGGAACAGATTCGGGAGAAATCTACGGATCATTGCAAAACGCACAGAATCCCCAACCCACTGAGCGAGCAACAGATGAGGATGATTGTTTCATATCCCAGGGAGAGGAAACGAAGCGGACTGGGGAGGAAGAATGCGCCACGTGGTGTGAAAGCTGTTTTGATTCCTGATGCTGAACACCTGCCATGTTCTCTGCACAGCCACCAGCCCGAGCCGACCTCCAGGACTCTCCCAGGGCAAACCAGAGCAGTGGCCCTGGGCAGCTGTGGGAACAGGAGCAGGAAATGGGGGACCCTGGAAGACAGAAGAGAGCGCTTCCTGTGGGGATAGATAAAAAAAAAAAAAAAAAAAAAAAAAAAAAAAAAAAGAATCACAGCCAGGCTGTGGGAACCTCTCCCAGGCGAGCAGGAGCACGTGGGCTGGGGAACTTCCTGAGCCAGGGAGCTGGCCGCAGTCATTTGCTGTAGCTGTTTATTTGTTTTCTAGGAGATTTTTGCATAATTTGGACAAAAGGAGAGAAGATAGAAAGCTAACTGTGTTTGGTTCCCCTTTGGAAACCAGGGTTCACAGAGCTCGCTCGGGAAGCTGGGTGACAGGAGCGCTGGCATCCAGACCAGCAGGGGACATGCCCAGCAAGTCCGACAGACCTGTCCCCACGGGTGGACAGCCAGCCAGTCAGCCGGCAGTGGACACTGGCCGTCAAACATGATGCAGTAGGGGGCCGCCAGCCGGCTGCCTCCCTCCTATCCAATGAGTGAGTCCTTCATGCCTCAGCCAGCCGTGGGCCAGCTAGGAGGCATTCCCTCCACAGTCCCTCAACCAGGAAGCCATTTGTCATTATCAGAGGCCTTATCAGAGCCTGGCATTCCTCTGCATTCCCAAGAAAGGCTCTCCATCATTTTTACCAAGACTTAGCCTTCACCCAGCTGATGCTGCACAGGAGCACTGTAAGCCATGAAGTTCGAGAGCAAAAATTAAGTGGGGGTAGCAGTCAGTTTCCAGGGCTTTTCAGTAGCAGAAACATATATTCTTGAGTCTCCTATGGTAATTACTGAACGGACTGGAGATAGGCCGGGGGGGGGGGGGGGGGGGGGGGGGGGACTGACTGTCTCAGCAGGCAGGACACAGGTTCAAATCACAGGGCCACAGTGAGCAGGCAGAGGCGTCCTGGTGCTGGTGCATCGCTGCTTCTCCCAAAGCATCCTCTCCTGGCTAAGGGAGCAGGGCCCTGGTAGTGGATCCCCAACTCTGGTCAGGTTTCCTCTGCCCTCGGTCAGGTTCCACGTTTGCACAGTGCCTCCTGCAGGGAGCCACTTCTCTGGACCATGGGCTCGCTCTCTCAATCAAAACCCCGACACTCGTCACAGAGTCTCCTGCAAGGCCCAGGGTGTGAGCAGCCCTCCTGCGAGGCCTCAGCTGCAGCCAAGGGTCAGGGTGTCCGTGAGTGTCACTCAGGCGAGCTGTAGGCACACTGGGTCTCAATGCCACAGGTACTTTTCTTTTTCCTTACAGAAAATCTCCCCTACTTTATTGCCTTCTCTCGACGTCATCCCTTCTCTTCGTTGCTCCCTCCCTTCATTTCCTTTAGGATCCTCGTAGCCCCAGCAGGACCTGTCTCGGGCAAGGGCCCCATGTGGCCTGGGACCTCGCAGGGTCCCTTTCTCCCAACTCACTTGAGCAGATGCTCCCAGAATGCCTGTCACAGCCCTGCCCGTGTCCACTGCTCTCCTGTGTACTCACAAATTCCCCTTCAGCTGTGGGTCATCCTCCACTAAAGCAAAGCAGTCCACACCCCAAACTTGCCCTGGCCCCCGGAACTTCCGGGGCAGATGCGAACATCCACCTGCACGGTAGCGGAGGACAAAGGACGGAGGTGGAGGGGACAAGGGCATCTCCACACGGAACACAAACAAGCCCAGGGTTAGCCCTTCCCTGGGACACAGGGCATCTTCTGCCTCCCCAGAGCCGATGGAAAGATTTTGGAGGTATTAATAGAATGCAGATGTTGGAGAAGGCGACTCGGAATTCTGCTGAACAAATGACCCTGTTGGGAGGTCGCCTCCACTCTTGAGGGACATTCTGCAGAGGGCCCAGCTGATCGTCTCATATTGAAACAACATGTCCAAGACACATTCCAGCCAGAAGAGAGAGGAACAGGGCTAACTCCGACCAAACATAAATCATCAGGCAAAAGGGCAACTGCACTCCCTCCGCTCTGCGCCCCCTCCTTCCCCGTTCACCCTCCACCCCCGCCCACCCCCCAAGGAAAACAGAGTGGGAGCGGGAGATTGCCAAGCCAAGCGCTCCCAGGCGCCAGCCGGCCGAGCGCGGCACACATGGCGGCCGTTTGGGACGCTCACGGCTTTCGGCGCTGTGGTCTTGATGTTTTTGCTCCACTGCAATTTGTTTCTGCTCTTCAGTCAAGTCCGTACAACGCTGGGATCCCCTAGAGGGTTTACGCTCTGACCTTATGACAATTAACACTAGAGGCCAAGAAAAGGAAAGGAGATGAAGCAGCAGCTCCGTGCCTGGGAGGTGGACTGCGGGACGGGCTGGGGGGCTCCTCACCCGAGTCGGTGTGCGGCTTGTGAAACGATTCGCAGCCCATAAAAAAGGACGCAGTGTCTTTCGGGAGACAAGTTGCCAGAATGGAAAGAAAGTCTCTTTCAAAGACTGCCAGCCCTGGCCATTCCCGGTGGTTGAGCTGTGTGTTCGGGGAAGGACACAGATTAGCCAGGGGCTGGGGCCGAGCACCTTCCGCAGGAGCCTTGGCCGGGGCCATTCCTAACTGGGTCAGACTCGGTGTCCTGGATCAGAAGCTGCGGGCTGGGTCCCTCCGGCCACCAGCGCTGCATGGTTGATGAGAGGACACCGGGCAGGGCGGGAGGGGCATCTGGCCTCATGGCTCACACTCATGGCATGGGGTGGTGAAGGCCACAGCATGCAGGCAGCCTCTGGGAGCTGCCGGCCACGGTGACACTCAAGGCCTGCCTGGCCCCCCAGCTCTGGGATGGCCACCAGACATGCAGGAGCAAACATCCACACACAGACCAGGCACCTGCAAAGCACACGGGCTGGGGAGGAGCACCAGAGGCACCGGCTCCCAGATACAGCCGGAGCGCACTTCACTTCATGCATTTCTTTCAACCCAGTTTAGCTCCCTTTCTCTCTGAGCCCAGTGCCAATCTGCAGGAAGGGCCTTGACATCAGTGTGCCCTCATGGCAGATGCTGGGGTTTGGGGGTACCTGCTGGGCTGCCAGAGACTTCAGTGGAGGGGATGCCCCAGGGGACCCAGCTTGTAGGAGCCCTTACACAGCAGGGCCGGCAGTCGTGGAGTTGTTCTCACCACTCTCAGGCCTGTGAGTGACACGGAGGAGCCAGGCCGGCCTGCGAGGCAGAATTTGAAAAGACGGAGTCAAAATTACTTGTCTTTCTGCTGAGAATGTATCAGAGAGCAAGATCACTCTCCCAGCCAAAGTAGCTGAATGTTTGGGCTTCCTTAGGAAGGCAGCATTCCTATGACAGGGGAGGCCTGCTGACTGCCACCCCACTGGGAGGCCTGCTGGAAGGCGCCAGCACGCAGGGCTGGGGCCTGTGCTGGGGGGGGGGGGGGTCCTGCTGCCCCAGGGAGGGGCCATCTGCAGGCTCTGCAGGGAGCAGCAGGATTATACCAAGGCCGCAGGAGGTAGCTAGGTTAGAGGAAGGGAGCATTAACTTCTGGAGCCCAGGATGGGGAGCAGGTGAGAGGTAGGAGGCGGCAGAGTTAAGTCTGCAGAAGCAAGTGGGGCCCAGGCTACAAATTGTTATCGCGACCATTAGACCTGCTAAGGTTAACCTTACCATTTTTTTTTAAAAGAGATTTATTATTTCATTGTTTGAAAGGCACAGTGTCAGAGAGGAGGGAGAAAGAGACAGAGAGAGATCTTCCATCTAGTGGTTCACTCCCCAAATGGCTGCAACAATCAGGTCTGGGCCAGGCCAAAGCCAGGAACCAGGAACCTAATCCTGGTCTCCCACTGGGGCCATCACCTGTTGCCTTCCCAGGTGTGTTAGCAAGGAGTGTGATTGGAAGTGGAGCAGCCAGGGCTTGAACTAGTACTCCAATATAGGATGCCAGTGTCACAAGTGGCTGCACCACAATGCCAGCCCCTTTTACAACTATTTTTTTTTGGTGTGGTAAAATATAATATAAAATTTACCACCTTCACCATTTTCATTTGCATGGTTCAGTTAAGTACATTCACACTGTTGTACAGCTGTCACCACCACTCATTCCGCAGCTCGTTTCATCTTCCAGAACGTCAACTCTGCACCCATTAAACATTCACTCACTGACCCCCTACCCCCAGCCCCAGCAACCACCATCCTACTTTCTGTCTTTGTGAATCTGAGTATTCTAGGTCCCTCGGATAAGTGGAGCCGTGCAGTGTTTGTCCTTTGGTGATTGGCCGATTCTACCATAATGTCCTTGAAGTCTATCCACGTTGTAACCTATGTCAGGATTTCCTGCTTTTTCGAGACTGAAAAGTGTATCTACCACATGTTGTTCATTCATCTTTATGTGCACTTGGGTTGCTGCCACCTTTTGGCTGCCATGAATACTGCTGTTGTGAACATGGGTGTACAGCTATCTCTTCAAGATCCTGCTTTTATTTACTAGAGTAAACACCGAGAAATGCAACTGCCACATTATATGGTAATTCTATTTTTATTTTATTAAGGAGCTGCCCACTGTCATATTTTGCATTCCCATCAACAGTGTAGAAAAGGACCAATTTCTCCTCATCCTCCCCAACGCTTGTTATAAGGATTCATAGGGTTTTTTAAAAAACTTATTAGTTAACTTATTTATTTGAGTTAGACACAGAGAGACTCCCAGCTACTGTTTCACTCCCCCAAATGCCTGCAATAGCAGGAACTGGGCTGGGACAGAAGTCAGGATCACAATCCAGGTCTCCCACGTTGGGGGCGGGAACCTCATTACTTGAGCCATGAGCAGTGCCTCCTCGAGTCTGCAATGGCAGGACGCTGGAGTCAGGATCTGGAGCTGGGATTGAACTCAGGTTCTCTGATGTTTGACACAGGCGTCTTCACTGCTGGGCTAAACATCCACCCCTGGAATTACACTTTTAAAGAGAAGAGCCTTGAAACACACTTTTTAAAAACATTTATTTACTTGAAAGAGAGAGAGAAACTGAGAGACTGGGAGACAGAGATCTTCCATCTGCTGGTTCACTCCCCAAATAGTTACAATGGCCAGGGCTGAGCTAGGCCAAATCCAGGACCCTGGAAATCCATCTGGTCCCCCCCTCTTCTTTTTTTCCCAGGCACAATAACAGGCTGTTGGAACAGAAGTGGAGTAGCCAAGACTCGAACCAGTGTTCCTATGGGATGCCAGCATTGCAGGTGGTGACTTAACCCATGGTGCCAGCACACTGGCCCTTGAAAGGCCTCTTAAACATTCACTGCAGACAGTTTGATAGATTACATCCCCTAGTTCTTGGGACGTTACCATCAGTCCATCAATCTGCACAAGGTCCCTTTTGCTGTAATGTTTAAATTCTATTGCATCCCATAGGAATTCCAGTCTCCTTCAAGGGCAATGTCTTTTTTTTAAGATTTATTTCAAAGATAGAGTTACAGAGAGGCAGAGGCAGAGAGAGAGGTCTTCCATCCACTGGGTCACTCCCCAAATGGCCCCAATGGCCAAATAGCACCAACAATAGCCAGACCGTGCCAATCTGAAGCCAGGAGCCAGGAGTTCCTCCGGGTCTCCCATGCATGTGCAGGGGCCCAAGCACTTGGGCCATCTTCCACTGCTTTCCCAGGCCATAGCAGAGAGCTGGATCAGAAGTAGAGCAGCCGGGACTTGAACCATCACCCATATGGGATGCTAGCAGTGCAGGAGGCAACTTTACCCACTAAGCCACAGCGCCAGCCCCAGGCAATGTTGGTTTTGTTGTTTACAAAGTAAGTTTTATGATTTTATGTGTCTGTATCCTTGATTTATGCAAATGATGTGTAATTTATCTCATTAGATTTCCTATCTGTTTAACCCCAGTACAGACAATCCTTCTGAATGTGTGGGCTTAATCAACCTGGGATTAAAATACTAAAAACACATATTGTGTTCATTCTGCACATATAAAGACTCTCCCTTCTTGTGATTATTGTACTGAACAATACAGTACAATACCTGTCTCCCACCATTTGCATTGTGTTAGGTATTACACCAGTGATCTGGAGGTCATTTCAGGTATACAGGAGCATGTGTGGGGATTCTAGGCAAACACGGTGCCCTTCTGTGCAAGGGACTTGAGTGTCCCCAGTGGGTCCTGGAGCCAGCGCCCCCAAGTAATTGCGAGGGAAAATGACTGTACCATGTTTGAGACTCCCCCGCATCACTGTGCACAAGACAAGCCCATGGCCTCTGACCAACAAGCTTCCCATGGGCCACATGCACCGCTCTCCACCATGCAGGCCACAAGAGACAAGCACTCAGGACACCCCAGTTCCGTGTCTCCACGCTCCACACAGCAATGAGCAACTTCGCCCCATCCCCATCCCCACAAGCATCCGCCTGAGGATTTCCACAGAGCCCCCCATCAGTTCCAGGACAACCCTGTGGGTGAGGTGGCTAAAGGGGCGGCCCCTCCCTGCGTGCTCCTCCCTGCACACCCGCCGGCAGTGAGCAGGAGCTTGGGGGAAACCCTGTGGGCAGACTGAACCTGCAGAGCAGCTTAGAGTAGGACTTCGGCTTCTGAAGAGTGGAGCCGTTGAAGGCTTTCAGTCAACTCTGAACGGGGCAAACCATCCTGTCTTTCACACTGGGAATAACACCCAGGCCAGACCTTGCTTCCGGCCACTCTGCTCAAGCTGGTAGCTGTGGCCTAACGGCCACAGGCCAAGGCTCGGAGGTGACATTCTCTGCCCCATGCCCCCATCCCATCCACTCATACCCCAAGGCTCATTCAACATTTTAAGAAAGCAAATGGCAAAAGCAATTTTCTCACAAGAAACAGCCAGAGGGGTGGGGATTAGGAGATGTTAGCCCCACTGTAGTGAGTGACACTTCAGCCTATGTTTTTTTTTTTTAATTTGTTGTTGTTGTAGTTGTTGTTTTTATTTAACAGGTAGAGTTATAAACAGTAAGAGAGAGAGACAGAGAGAAAGGTCTTCCTTCCTTCCGTTGGTTCATTCCCCAAATGGCCACAATGGCCGGCGCTGCGCCTATCCAAAGCCAGGAGCCAGGTGCTTCTTCCTGGTCTCCCATGTGGGTGCTGGGGCCCAAGGACTTGGGCCATCCTCCACTGCATTCCTGGGCCACAGCAGAGAGCTGGACTGGAAGAGGAGCGATCAGAACTAGAATCCAGCACCCATATGGGATGCCGGCGCCACAGGCGGAGGATTAACCAAGTGAGCCACGGTTTTTTAATCCTGGACTCCCCTAATTGAGTGCACACCTCCAGATGTCAGTGAAGACCTCCCCAGAGGCTGTAGGGGGTCCCAAAGTGGGTGGGGTCTCCTCAGGTACACACTACAAAGCAGGGGTTCCCTCTGTACTGTCACATCACTAAAGGGACTTGGCAGTGCAGAGGACACAGCCATGCAAGGGAGATATTTGCCTGGGCCACATGGTGTCAGGATGAGGAACAAAATAAACTATACCTAAACTATAAACAGTAAGTCTGGATCCAGGGCCACCACTGTGCCGTAGCAGATAAAGCTGTCACTTGCAACGCGGGCATCCAATATGGGTGCATTTCATGTCCCAACTGTTCCACTTCTGCTCAGAAGTGGAAGATAGCTCAAGTATTTGGCCCCTGCCACCCATATGGGATACCCAGATAGAAGTTTCTGGCTCCTGGCTTTGACATGGTACAGCACTAGCCATTGCAGCCATTTGGGCAGTGAACCAGCAATGGAAGATGTGTGTGTGTGTGTGTGTGTGTGTGTAAATCTGACTTTCAGAATAAATGAATAAATCTTCCAAAAAAAAAGCCTGAATCCTTGAGGCAAAAGTATAACTTTCACATGTGCTTGCCCAGGTTTGCTACGTTCCACCTACCACCAGCTAAAGCTACCCAGTGGCACCTGCTCTGCTCTCCTTCCACTCCTGGTGGGGAGGGGATGAGGATCCTACCCCAGTGGGTCCAGAAGGGGGACTCCTACCCCAGTGGGCAAGGAGAATGCAGCGTTGAGCCCGAGGGGCTTATTCTTGAGCCTTCAGCTCTCACACTGTTCGCTTTGCTAGGTTTGAGACATCCTTGCCATCTGCCACCCCTTCCTTCTGGCCTGTTACTTCCCTTTTGAATGGAATGTCTACCCTGGGTGTGTCCCCCTCCCCCATGGGTGTGTTTTGAAGTCACATAGCTTTGTCTCACAGCTGGAGGGGAATCTGTCTCAGGATCAATCATACCTCAAGTCTCACCCACATCTGACTTGCATGATTTTTAGATGAGACTGGATTTTACAATTGATGCTGGAATGAATTAAAACTTTTGAGGTTGGAATGGAATGAATGCATTTTGCATTTGAGAAGGACATGAATGTTGGGGAGTCAGGGGTGGGATGTTATGGAGTGAATGTGTGTGCGCTCTGAAATTCATATGTGAAAATCCCAACACCGAAGGTCATGCTGTTAGGAGATGGGGCCTTTGGGAGGTGATCAGAACGTGAGGGTGGAGACTTCATGATCAGTGCCCTTAGGACAGGGGCCCCAGAGAGCTCTCTCTTGCTGTCATGTGAGCTAAAAGGAAAAGTCAGACCTCTATAACCCAGGAAGAAGGCCCTCACCAGAACCCAATCATGGGGCACCCTGATGTTTGACCTTCAGCCTCCTGTAAGAATAGATTTCTACTGTTCATGAGCTACTCAATTCGTGTTTTTTTTTTGTTCCAGCAGCCCCAACAGACTGACACAACCCCGACACCCCTCATACAGATGAGAGTGGGAAGGAACTTAGTGTCAGTGGCTTCTGCCCATCACTCCAATGAAACATCCTCTTTGGGCCCCAGCAGCCCCCAGCTGCACTCAGGAGATGGTTATCCTGTCCGCACTACCCTCTGACATCCTTAACCTTTTGGCACTGTCTTCTTAAAACGTGCTCTTCTCTTGACTTTTGCATATAAATTTGCTCTCCTCTCCTTCCTCCCTGCCACTCTCACTCAGGGGCCCAGGATATGCATGCTCCTTACCTGTAGGTTCAGCCTTGGATCCTGTGGCACGGGCAGTTGGCCTAGTGGTTGACATACTATCATTCCATATGAGTGTGCCTGGGTTTGAGTCCTGTCTCTGGCTCCTGACTCTAGCTTCCTGCCAATCCAGATCCTGGGAAGCAGTAGTGATGACTTGGGTAGTTGGGTTCCTGCCAACTCATGTGGAAAACGTGAATTAAGTTCCTGGCTCATAGCTTCAGCCACTCTGCCCACGTCTTTGCAGACGTTAGGGAAGTGAACCAGCGAACACACTCTGTCTCTGTACACATTCTCTCCCTTCAGCTTCTCAAATAAGTTTCTTTTTTCACTTAAACAAATTTAGATCTCTTTGAGGATTGACTCTACACCCACTGTTTTCCCACACTCTATACACTGGGGCTTAGCAAACTTTTCTATTTAAGATCAGATTATTAATATAAAGTCAATATTGCCAACTGCTCAACTTGGCCATTACTGCACAAAGGCAGGCACAGATAGTATGTAAATGCTTTGGCATGGCCAGATTCTAAGAAAACTTGATTTATAGCAGCAGGCAGCAGGCTGAATTTGTCTTAGCAGCCAGCATTTGCCAGCCCAGGCTCTGGACTCTCTCCCAGGAGAACAGAGACATTCTCATGGTTTCAACTTCTACTCAGATTTACAGTTTCCATCCAGGTTCCTTTTCTGAGGTCTCACCTTGCCTCATTCAATCAATACAACATCCATGCACACAACATCATCAATATCACCAGGCTGACCTCACAGCCTCCTTGTCACCCTCCAGTAGTGGATAAAGGACAGAATGCTCTCAGGTCCCACTTCCCACCCTCTGGCACTTTCCTGAGCAAAGACAGTTATGATGCCAGGAGAAAAACACTAATCCCATACTCTCTGCTTTCCCCCCTTCCCTTTCCATTAACTCACGTTCACTCCACTGGCTCAACAATTAAGGCTTGTTGACCTCTTCATGTTCCTCTGAAGATGAAGTAGGTACTCGAATTAATACAGTCAGCCCTCCATGTCTGTGGTTTCACATCTGCAGATTCAACAACCACAGATTCACCCAACTGCAGATGGAAAATATTCAAAAAACACTGTATGTGTGTTAAACATGGACAGACCTTCTTTGCTTGTCATTATGTTCTAAACAACACAGCATGATGAGGATTTACACATCCCTGACATTGTATTAGTTGTTGTTTGTAACCTGGCGATGATTGGAAGCATAAGGAAAGACGCGCATAGATTATATGCAAATTCCACACCGTGTTATATAGGGATGAGCACCTATGGATTTGGGGATGTTCTAAGTCCAGTTCCCCCATAACTACCTAGAGACGACTGCAATCTGAATAGAAGGCACTTATGGCTCCAAGTGTGAGTGAAATGATCACACAGAAACCAGGAGGTACCCCTGGGGAATGGTCTTTCATGGCATGTCCAGCACACATCATCACATGGCCTGCAAGGGTGTTCCAAGGCTTCGCCCTGTCTTGACAGTGGAGAGAACCAGGCTCACATCTGACAACGCTGCCTCATTTCTTCTGTCTGCAAAGTTCTTCTTTTTTTTTTTTTGACTCATCAACATTTCCAAAATATGTGCTCTGTCTCTATGTTTAAGGAAAAAGAGAGTTCTGTGCTCAGATGGGGTTGGAAAGTGGAGCATCCTCTGTACCCCTGGTAGATTGAGCAAGAAAGAAAGCTTACACTTCCTAAAGATGTGTGGCCTCACACACCAGTATCTAGAGACTGCAGAGACGGGTGCTCTGTGGAACACATTCAGAGAAACAGGAATCTTTGATCATCCAAATGTCTGCCATGTGTCAGGCCTTGTAGGGGTCATTGCAGGGTCCATCCCTGCTCTCTGCCCAGTGAGTGCCACGTGTCCATCACCCAGGGCTTGAGGAGAGAGGATTTGTGACCAGGGAGGTCAAGGCAGGTGTCACAGCTTCCCTTCCTGTAAAACACCTCCAGCTGCTAAATCACCCCCATTGCTCCCTTCTCTCAGCACTGATTTCAACTCTCCTGAGAGAAAATCAAGGTCATTATCTGAGCAAAGTCATTTTCCCAACACAGAAATGGCCAAAATGATACTAAGTGACTTTGGAAGTTTGAAAGAGGAGCTTACAAAAGTTAAATATCAGAACACACCTCAACCGCACCAGGGTTACTCCTCTGTGAACCTCATCCACCTACTCTGTTCATGAACAGGAATCCATTAGGTGACATCCTCCTGAGCCTCGAGCACTCACCTCGCCTGTCCTCCTCTGTTGCACCTGTCGGAACTGGAGTCACCACTTTGCTCCTTGCTAGCGGAAAAGCATCTCTGTCATCTTAATGTCACCCTTCTAGCCCAGCACAGCATTCAAAGAGGATGCAATCAGAAGCCTTTTGATTTTTATCTTACAGACTTCTAAAGCGACTTGAGCACCTACTGTGTGCTAAACATCATGCCAGACCTAAGTTCAGGAGCATGCAGTCTAAGGGGGAAGATGGGCAGAGATGCAACGGTTTTTGGTGCACCATGGTGAATGCTATATCAAGGTTGCTAGCGAAAATGATGACTTTTCAGAACACTGAGAGAAGTCTCACAGGAAAGTCCTGGTCATTGGTGCATCCCATGGAGTGAGTCGAGCTTCAGTGGACACATGTTGGGAAAGCCTACAGAGCTACAGACAGGAGGAGGTGTCTAGGGGGCAGCCTGGGATAGGCACACTGTCTTATGGGTAATGAGAGTCTCGGAAGATTTATAAGCAAAGCAACATGATTCAATCTACGTTTCCAGTGAAAACTCAATCTGGAGGAAGGGCTGTAAGAGACAGAGCCTCCTCTTTACTTGGAAAGGCACAGGAATGAAGCTGCAGTGTCCTCAACCTCCTTTCTTGGGCATCCTGCTAAGCGTGCCTGTAATATGCAGACACAGTCCACCGCGTGGTCAAGCCACATGTGATCCAAGAGAAGGCAAGGGCCCAAGGAGAAGCTGCTGCTAAAACCTGTGGGGGAGCCATCTCCTTGGAGCTTCTGCAGCCTGTGCCCACCAGGACAAGGCAGAGAGCCTTCCCAAACCTCCTGGCTTCATCCTGGAGAAGGGACCAGGACCAGCGACCAGTGGTGCCACAGCCTGGTAAGGGCTCAGCGGCGCCCGCAGCAGTGTGGGGGGGGGGTGCCCGTGCCAGGCGGCGCTGTCCCTCCGGACAGGGGCCCTGCAGGATGCTGGACAATACAGGGAAGGAAAAGGAGGGAATCCTCGACCTTGGGCCGGAGCCTGGCGCAGACCACTGAACCCTGGGTGTCTGGACAGGTCTCAAGAAGGAAAAAAATTCTTGCAAGCTGACGAGGCAGCAAGTGAAAACAAAAGATCCTATCTGGTAGGAAATAGGACAAAACGGAGAGAAATGTGTTTTTGTTTTGGGGAGATAAAATAAGCAACAGAGCGCTGAACTCAGGTCAGGAGAGCACAGCGGCCTCCTGCAGGGTGACGGCACATGGAGGAGGAAGTTTGCTGGGGCAGGTACAGAAGAGAAGCTATTGTGAGAAACACCGCCATCCACACAGTATGGCTCCACTGCAGAGAAGGCAGGTCATCCATGTGAGGGCTCCTGGCAAATCCATCACAGTGGCACACGTCCAAGGCACAGCTGGCTCACGGGGGGCTCTCTGGTTCCTCTGTGCAGATCCTTCTGGAAGGTGCCCCCTGTCGACACACACTTGCCATCTGTTTACAGCAGGTTCCCTCCACAGTCATGCTTGCAGCTGGCTTTGTACGGTGTGGACCCAGCTCTGGAAATGAAAACCCCTCTTGTCAGGAGAACCTCAGGGAGGAGAGTGGCCGTACTCAGGGGAGAATCGTTCATCAACCCAGTGGTTGCAGGGCTGCTGTGTTTGGAAAGACTGAGCTTTGGGGCTGCAGGTTTTCTGCAGGCTTTGAAGTCACCGTACATACAAAAGCATGGTTGCTAGTAGTCATTCACTGAATGCTTCTTGCATGGACTTAGCCAAGTACCCAGAGGACTTGGACATAACTGTGACCAGGGTTTTGTGCCCTCTCCACCAACAGGCTTATGTCCAGCTAGTTTCAGAAGTAGAGTAGCCTCCTCACCAGATGTACTCTTTCCCATTTCTGCCCACATGACCCTCTGTACACGTCCCAAGGGCTCTTCCAATGGAGTCCCGAGCTTTCCTTGAGAACTCAACACGTCATTGCTTGCTTCCTGGGCAAATTTTGCTCTTGAAATGCAAAGTCATCTTCATTCCAGCAGAAGTGGCTACTGTGGATATGAAGCCAAGAAGAGAATGTGCAGTCTGACCTGGCTCACATCCACAGACAAGTGATTTAGAGGAACAAAGCAGTTAATCAAGCCAGTTCCTAGCAGACACAGGTATTAGGACAAGCCTCATTAGAGGGTGGCAGTGACAGGTCATCATCATGGTAAGAGAGCTGGAGGGCTGCTCAGCTCTGATCAGTCATGTGTGAGCCTAGGTGGTCCTTAAAAATAATACAAAGCAGGTAGATCTACTGAGATATAATTCACATAGTGTACTGCTCACCCATTTAAAGTACATAATTCACCAATTTTCAGTATAATCAGGGTGATGCAATTAATCTACCCACAAGCAACTTTGAGATAACTTCATCACCCACCAAAAAATTCTGTACGTATTAGCAGTCACTCCTATTTGCAACCAACAACCCCCGCCCTAGGCAATCACTAATCTATTTCCAGTCTCTATTGACTCCAAGCAAATATTGAACCTGTCTGAGCCTCAGTTTCCCCATGTAGAAAGAAAGGAGCCAGGCTGTGCAGATGTCAGGGAAGCCCTTGGAAGCCTCTTTCCCTTTAACACACAGACCTGTTGTTGTGCAATCAAGGATTTTTCATGAGACCTTGCAAAAACAGATCATGATGCTGGCCCTGGCCTGGGTTATGTTCTTCCAATAAGATTTTCTAGGGAGACCAAGGAGTGTTTCACGCCCCCATTTCCCTTGTGCTCACACACCCGGCTCTGCCATTATCCTGCCCCTTGGAGAGAGGAGCCCCTGGCCGTGCCTGGGCACATCAGCATAGATCACAGAGCACAGTAACAGGATAGCTGTCGACGACCCCATGACACAAAGCACTTTACAATGGTCACATCCATCGTAAAGAAAAGTGATGGGCTCTCTGAAAATGATGCAGCACCTGCTCCAGGACACTTGCTCATCATCTACCTCTAGCCTGATGGAAACAGCAAATTGAGAGAGTTTATTTTAATTTTACTTAACAATTTGGTAGCACTTAGCACATTCATAGTTTGTATAACCACCTCCTCTCCCCAGCTCCAAACCATTTCCAGCATGCCAAAGTAAAACCCTTTATCCATAAAGCATTTCCTCGCTATTTCCCCCTCACCCCACATCCCACGTCTGAAAACCAACCTTCTGGGTTCTCTTCTATGAAGTTTTCTGAGTGTTGTGCATAAATGGAAAGACACAATACACAGACTTTTGCATCTGGTTGGCTTCCCTTAGAATAATGTTGCCAAAGTTCATTCACAGTATAGTACGTATCAGTCTATCATTCCTTTGTCTTGTTACTGCCATACTAATAGGTATGAAATGGTGCCTCATTGCAATTTTCACTTGCATTTTTGTAACTACTAACCACATTGAGCATCTTTTCATATGATTGTTGACCATTTATACATTACACATATCCTTTGGAGAAACTCTTTTTGCTATTTATTTTTAAGATTTATTTTAAAGTCAGAGTTACAGACAGAGAAATATTCCATCTGTTGATTTACTCCTCATGGCCGCAATAGCCAGGGTTGGGCCAGGCCAAAGCCAGGAGCCAGGAGCTTCATCCAGGTCTCCAAAATGGGATGCAGAGGCCTAGACACTTGAGCCATCTTCTGTTGCTTTTTCCAAGCTATTAGAAGAGAGCTAGATCAGAAGTGGAGCAACCAAGACACAAACCAGCACACGTATGGGATGGCAGGTGTCATAGGCAGTAACTACCTAACACAGGCTCCATCATTTTGCTGTTTTTAAATTGG